TAAAATAGATTTTCATTTTCCATCAACCATTCCAGTCTATTTCTCAACATAGCATGGAAGATTTTACTCAGGCAAGACATCAGCGAAATAGGTCGGTATAATGCGTATTTCTCGCCATTGAAATGGTACAAAGCTTAGAGAGTAAAACAAATTAAATAGTTCGAGTAAAATAATAAATGCGTCTTTGGGAAGGTGTTTTATCATTGAATAGGATATATTATCCACACCTGGAGAAGTATCTTTTGTTTTAACACAGCAGGTTAACTCGCTCATTGAAAAAGGAGAGTCAATTTTAATGTTACGAGATGAAAAAACAGGGTCTTTCGGACAAACTGACTCTGGAGTCAAACTGTGTAAATCTCATTTACCATAGTTAGATCAACATAACTCCTATTCACATTAGAACGCCCATAACCTTTCAAACACTTCATTTTCTGCCACATCCCGTTTACTGTAGTATACTCATCCATCGAAGAACAAACAGTAGAAAACGATTTCTTAGTTGCCTTTCTAATTAGTAATTGTGTGATTCTAATTTTGTCTTTTAATTTATCTAAATTATCAGGAGTAGGGTTTTTTCTAAATAGAATAAGAGCTAGGCGCCTTTCTGCAACAGATCTAGATAAGTCGGTACACTTTAGGAGAAAAATGTTGTGAGGGATCTTGGCTGGTTCTGTAAAAAGGAATATGAGCATCAGCGGCTTCATTGATCATACTTAAAAATAAGTTGTAGCTTTTCTGCGGATCTTCATCAATAAAAACAAAAGTTGAAATATTATCTTCTAAGTATGAGCTACATCCATCCCAGTTTGCTTTTTTATAGTTCCTTTTCTTTAGGAATTGACGCTTACTATTGTAATATGACAAATTAATCTTAACAATCAAATGATCACTGCCTAATGACTCATTAGTAACCTTCCAATCTAACTGCAGTGCTAGATCCGAAGATGCGATAGATATGTCAGGGGACGACTCCTGTACTATTCCGTTTACATATTTAACGCGAGTAGCTGTGCCATCATTCAAGGAAACGAAATGATTTTCAATTAAAGAGTCAAAAATGTTGGTGCCTCTTAAATCAACCTTACTAGACCAGCTTGGATGATGTCCATTGAAGTCCCCAAGAATCAATGTTTTGTTAGTTTTAAAAGAAAATATTTCATCCCAATCATTCTGAAAAGTTCGTATGGTAGGTGGACAATATATAGAGAGTAGGTATGTAATCTATGTGTGTACAGTTAAAAAATTTAATACAAATTATTTCAATTCCGGGATTAGAAATTTGGACAGGTATTAGTTGAGCCTTTAAAGATTTGTGTGACCAAATAGCAACCTCACCATACGAATCATTTCGGTCCCTGCGGTAATTATTGTAGCCACTGATTCTGAACGTAATTTCAGCAGTCAGCCATGTGACAGAAATGGCAGCAATATGAATTTTCTCACTACTTAACAGCTGGTCAAACTCCGCGCGTTTGGGCCCTATACTTTGTGAGTTCCACTGGAAAATGTTTATATTGTAATTACTACCCATTATTGTCCGAAGAAACTTTTAAAAGGCAAATCCCAAATGCACTGCCCCACCATCGGTACTAACCATTCAATAACTAATGACATTCCTTGAAATATTTTCTTCTTAAATTCATCTTGTGAATTTGTAAATATAGAACATAACTTAGAAAGTAACTGCTTAAAATTTAGAGTAGATCTAAGCTTCTCCCTTCTCTCTTTTTTCTCTCTTCTTGATTGGAGCTCAATTTCAATATCATCATCATTATTGTTAACGATTTCTTCCGATTCTGACGATATATCGCTTCAAAACAATTCATTCTGATTTTGCTTCTTCTTCCTCTTTCTCTTCGTCCCTATAGTCTTTCCTTGTAAAGCTTGCGGAACCTCCTTAGCACACGATTGTAATGCGAATGGTAATTAATTACTGTTAGGAGCATTTTCAAATTGTAGGCGCGGTACAGATCGAGTTACGCTTACGTAAGTCACTACCCCATCGTTGTTTTGTGGGATAGAGGACATGTATGGGCTCGGGCAGGTTATTATATTAAGGTGTATTTAGGTTGAGATGTCTTTGAGCCGTCTGTAATATAGTTGGCTCTTGTTCTACTCGTTCAGGTTGAGGATCTGGAGGAACATAATATACTTGTAAGGCCTTTTTATAGGAGCAATTAAATTCAGCCATTATACTCCTTAGACGTTTTTCTTTTATAAATATAGGACACGATCTATCCAACGATATGGGACTCCCGATACAGTTAACACATCTAAAAGTTGTGGTCTCAAAATTAGCATGCCCCTTTCCACACTTAGGGCATACAATATTTTTAGAGGGGCAAACACGTAAACTATGGCCGAACCTCCAACACCTCGAACACTGAGTAACTGGGAAGACATAGGGCTCGACGTTAATTTTCATGTCGTAAATGTATACTGATGCTGGCAACGATGAGCCCTTAAATTCCAGTCGTACTGATTCACTATCTTCCCATCCCTTTCCATCCATCATTCTGCGCTTCAAGCGTTTTACACCTAATATCTTGCAATCACTTGAAATTACCTCCAGCATCTCTTTTTCGGTCATCTCCAGCTCAATATCCTTAATGACACCGTATGAGAAAGCAACCTCTAATGGTTTTTGAAATCGCCATCCTAATTCCTTCAAAGGTGTACAGTTCATCAGCTCATCGGCACTTTCTGCACATTCAAACTGCACAAATACTTTGTTCGCGTTCACGTATTTCACACGGCTAATATTCTTGATATTATTGGATTTCAAAAGTTTTGCAAGCGCAAATTGTTTAGGTAATTTTTCGAAGCAATTAATATATAAATCAACTTTCTGTACCACTCTCTTCCCATTTCTTGAAACCGTAATCCACCTTTCTTCTTCATCCTCTTCTCTGCGTCTCTTACTACAAATAGGTGTAATAACCTCATCGTTAATCATTGATTCACATTGAGCGGAGTTTTCTTGTATACAAATCTCCGTTTCCACTTCATTGTTTTGAATTAAAACAGAATTTATCGCCTCCCCGTCTAAAACTTGATTTTCTTCCATGGTGAACAAAGTACACCAATGAACGCTCCAAAATTAAAGCATGGCAAACCACGCATGCACGTTAGTAACCGACAGTTAGACTAATATTCGTAAGTATGAGCGCACGCCCATTCAAACGACACGTCTGTTGCGAACGGGCGCTCAGACTGAACTCGTACTACTAAGGTTGCCGATAAAAAAAAAACTTGCAACAAAAACCATTTTTAGCAAATAGTGTAGTGTAGTGAAAGTGATTAACTAGCAACAAAAATTTATATTCAAAATTTCGGTTCTTGTTTAGAAATAGTAGGCTTTTTTGTGGCTAGTTTTCAAAGAGTATTATACCATTTTAGAATCTTGGTTAGTTGCGTCAATTTTTAAAAAACTTGCCGTAGTAGTGTCAGTACTTTTTATTTTTACACCACGATGAGTGAAAGTGGACTGAAAGTAAAAATCTTTCAAAATTTTAGGGGAAAAAATAATTTGTATTGATTTTTGTGTAAAAACTACATATATTCTGGGATTTATAAGGGTTGTGGTAGATAGCAGTACTACTAAGGTTGCCGATATAAAAAAAAATACAAAAAAAAATTAAGAATTCATGGTAATGATTTAGATCTATGAAGCTGCAAATAATATTACAAATTCAATAACACCATGGTTGTTATAAAAGGTGACTTAAGGTAAATTATAGATAAAAATATGCTTAACATTTATGTATATTGCATTATTAGAAGGCACGGATGGGCTAATATATACAATATATTACTAAACAATATATAATAAAGTCAAGTAATAATGTCCATAGTCTCTGAGGTATTTGTATGTTTGCCTACAGAGCGAGATTACTTACAGGCGCTAGATTGTACTTTATGTAATCTTTGTTGATTTGCTTCACTTTTATTATGTAGGTACCGTAGGTCCTACCTAACATGAATGTTACTCCGTTTCCGTATAATTTAGTTAATCATTTATGTTCACTGCTCAGACCCATGATACCGAAATAATGAAATGCATAACGCAAAACTTTTTCACATAATACGACTGAATAAATCAAGAAAAGCCTTAATAAAGTATGTCTTTGAAAGAATTTATTGTTAGCAATGTAACATCACTATTTACGAACAACAAAACTTCATAGATACGCAAAGAGTGATAAGAAGTAATTAAATAATATGAATTAAAGGTTTAGGGTAAATAATTACATCCATCTACATACTGTCGCAAAAGATATAAACGTTTTTACATTATATTTACAGCAAAAACTAAATCACTCACATATGAAATGATAGTTCGCGTGATTTTTGACTATATTTTGAGGCACAGCCTCTTACACAACACTTAGTCATATTCGTACTTTATAATGAATTGGAAAATTCACTATAAACTGTTTAAAAATTCGCAAAATTTTCAAATTCAGAAATATCAAACGACTTTTTATAATAGCAAATCTGAAACAATAAATAGCGGAATCGGCCGCAGTGCGGGGTTAAATGACGTCATCTTAAAAATGTTTACCAGAATACGAAACAATTTCTATTATCTGTTTCATTTATGAATGACTTAGACTTACACTTCGCTGAGTGAAAAAGAGATAGGCAGCATATTGACAGTTCAATGTCGAATATAACCATATTTGTATAACCAAAAAGGCGGCTCCTCTATTTTCTATGCTCAAAGATTGACTCTCCGCTAGGCATAACCCATAGAGATATATCTTCCTTAAGCCTTAAGATACCATCGCCAACCGTCAGCTGTCTGCTGGCGGTTATTCTGTGACATTGACAGTTGTAAACAAATTTACATTAGGTACATTGCATTAGTAAACTTCGAGGGAGTAGAAAAATTAAATGAATTAAATGTTATGTTATTCGTCTTATATTATGTTTTCTAATTAATATTCTTAATATAATATTCTTTATAATCAATTTGGAAGCCTCCTTTTATAAATATGTCCGAAGATATCAGTGTGACTTTTATAATACCGAAAGAGTGTGTTACAGAAAATGATTGCTCTGAAGAAATGAAGCTTGCTTTTACCGTAAGTTTTGTATGTTGCTAGGACTTTAAAGATGCTTTCGTGTTAAATTATAGTTCAAGAATATATGTAGTTTATGATAAAAATACTGCTTTTATTTATAGGTTTTCTTTTGACATTCGCCAAATACATTTATAAAATTTTACATATTTATATAAACAATAATGAATCAGTAGAAATATTTGCAAACTTAGTAAGTTAATTTCTTTTTATAGAATAAAGATGACCAAAAATGAACACACAGTCCACCTGGCGGTATATGCATGCTTTGGCCCATAGGCCCTATATGCCTATATTTATCCTTGACTAATGAATGCTTCGTTATCAGTAAAAACGGTCGTTCTGAAATATTAATAGCTTGATTTAGCTTTTGCTTTGTTATTCTTGTGGTGCAATGGTTAATGAGTCTCATATTTGTTACAATTATGCACCTGCTACTGCTACTAGTATGGTCAATAATATGATTATGATGTCTACTGTAAATTAGACCCAATTTCAGCAGTGGACTGTTTATGGGTTGTTAAAAGCATATTAAATACTTAACTAGCAAAAATTATAATTTGAAGCATCAGTAGCCTAATGGTAGGGTGTGGCCCGCAAACTCTAAAGGTTGTGGGTTTGAATCCACCTTTTAACTACTGTCGTGAACCACGTCTAACACAAGTATTTTAAGCTTACCAGAAGTGGCTAAAGAGAATATTAGTAATGTTTAATAGCATTATTAGTAAATTATTTTTAATAGAAATGTCCTGATACTTTTTGTGTGTTGAATTTTTTTTTTTTCAATTAATTTTATTCCCCTTGTTTAGCTAATTTTGCTTACAACCAGTGGCATAGCTACCGTATGGCTAGGCGGTGCCCCGGGGCTCCCAAACTCATGGTACCCACCACCATGAACAGCCTCCATCAACCGCATTCGAAAAAGTTATATAATATCTTAGTGAGAATTTTCGACTTTTAACTTTTTAGTCGCTGACCAACAAACACCGAATGGCTCGTACTGATATTACAAAAATTACTCCCACATGAAGAACATAAACATAATATTGGTAGATTATAAACGAAGTAGACAACTACTTCGTTTATTGTCTACTAATATTATTTACAGCAGTCTACTTTGTCATTGTTTCTTTTTTACTAGCTTTCACCTGTGACTTCGTTTGCCTGGTATGGACCAAAATTGAAAGAGATACTTGTATCATGATAAAAGTATCTTATGTCCTACTCAGGTCGGGCTCCATCTGTGTGCAATTTCCATGAAATCCATCCAGGTGTTTTTGTGAAAGTGTAACAAACAAACATACTTACACATTTATAATATTATTAGTAAAGACAATTGAATATTATCTGATACTTTACACATAATACTTAGTAGTAAGTAGCTTTATTTTATTATGCCCTAGTAGTGGGTGATAAGGAGCTGATGATGAAGTAGTTTTGCACATTTAAAGTATTTAGTTTAGTTTAAATAGTGCTCAAAGTTCATTTTTGCCCTGGATAACACACCTATGCCAGTGCTTACAACAAGTGAGTCATGGAACTGATATATAATGCAAACAGCAGTTTTATGATTTTACAAAACACCTATTGAAATAAATTTAAGTAGACATTTTAATAATTTCAACTATTCTAAACTTGGAATTCTTGCAGGCATGTGAACAGCACAGTGGTGGAGGCCTTAAAGCCCAATGGGTTCATGAAGATAATTGGACCAAATTTGATGGTTTGACTAAGAAGGATGTTTTTGTTCTATCTGAATTTAAAGGGGAGTTATATAATAAATTAAAAACCACAAAGTGCCTGTGAGTAAATATTTTTAAAAGGTTTGATTTATAATAGTCTGTAGATTATATTTATTCTTTAGAATAGTTTTAGGTACTCATACGCCAATTCCTCCTGGACTATAATTTTTTTTTATTATCTTCACGCACAATCCCTGACGGGGTAGCCAGAGAGAACAGATCGCCAAGTGTCACGATCCTTACATATCTCTTTCGCTTCTTTCAGATTCATTATCTTCTTCATACATGCACGTCTAGGTATCCGAGTACTCTTGACCTTACCCTCTTCGAGCAATTTGCTCACATGGTCTTCGAAAGTTAGTCTCGGTCTACCTCGACACCTTTTAATATTAACTTTCGCGCTATATATTTTCTTCACCATTCGGTCTTCACTCATTCGCTCAACGTGCCCAAACCACCGAAGCACGCCCTTATCAATTTTTGTGATAAGGTCATCTTTCAAACCTACCATATTGCGAATCTCTTCGTTTCGCTTTCGGTCGGCCATAGTAACGCCGCACATTTTACGAAGAGATCGCATCTCCACTGCATTCAACTTACTTTTATGCTTCTTCTGGCATACCCAGGTTTCGCTGCCATATAACAAAGTCGGTACCAACACTGCGTTATGTATTGCAAGGCGTGCACTCTTCGCTACGCCTTGCCTTTTGACTAACGCAGTCAGGGCACCATTGACTTTGTTCCCGGCAGCGACACGCCTGTCCACATCTAAATCACATCTTCCATCCCGGCTAAAAGCACTCCCCAAGTATACAATTTCATTTACCTGTTCTAGACATTCCTGATTTACCCATATTTCACACTTCGTTCTCTCTTCGTCCCTTTCAAATACCAGAACCTTAGTTTTATTAGCATTCAAACGGAGACCTTTAATTTCACATTCCTCTTTCATACACGTGACTAATGCCTGCAGTTCTGCCTCTGATGGTGCAATAAGCACTGCATCATCAGCATACAGCAGACAATTTACTTTTATGTCACCCAATTTCACACCCAAACAGCTATCTTTCAGCTTTTGTAAACAGCTGTCGAGATACAGTATGAACAGCCAGGAAGACATGACACAACCCTGTTTTACGCCCGTTTGGACTCTAAACATGGGTGACAGGTCATGCCCTACCCGCACACAGGCTATAATTAAAATAAATAATTCTGAGATAATTTATGCTATAGCTAAAAATACACCAAAATATTATTATATACTTATTATATAATGACTAATATAACCTCGAGTTTTGTATTGTCAAAGGGTTTTTAGAATTTCAAGCATGAAATAAATAACACTTGTGTGTTATTCCAAAACTTGAGGTTGATGAATGCGATGAGAGCTTCTAGTATTTAAATGCAACAACTTATATCGACTCGTAACTTCTTTTTATTTTTTTAATAGAAGAGGGGGCAAATGAGCATGCCTCTCACCTGATGATTGAAGGATGTCCACGAACAACTGCAACACAAGGGGAATTGTAGATGCGTTGCCAATCTTTTAAAAGGGGGGTAAGGTCGGTTTTTGAAGGTCCCTCAGTCATAACTTGGTTGTTATAATACTCTACATAACAAATTTTTTTATTAAAATACAAAGTACGTCGTTTTTCTATTCTGAAAACTGTATGTGTCATTATTAACAGGTTAGTGGGACCTCGATGTTTGTCATGTTCTTTGGTAGAGGGAACACCCATACCTAAAGGACCTGAACCAGTCTTCACAGTCGCTATGAGAGGCCTAGTGATTACTGCTAGTGGATTAACTAAATCAAAAAAGGTAACTCAATAATTAGTTCATAATGTTATAATATGGTTTTTACAAATATACATAATATGTATATTTATGATATACAGGTACAGGGTTATTTTATAATTTACTTATGCCCATATTTGCAGAGGAGGTTAAGATTAGGTAATATAAGCAAATGGTGAAAAATAAAATAAAAAAAGAACTCAAATTTTTGTCCTTATCTTTTAAATTTAAAAAAGGGAACAAACAAGTATGCCTCTCACTTGATAGTAAGTGTTGACCGCCATCCATGAATAACTGCTATGGGAATTGCAGGTGCAAGTAAGCTCGTTTCTTGAAGGTCTCTAAGTCATAACTAAGTTGTTATAATACTATATGTAACAATCTTTTTTATTACAATACAAAGTGCATGTAGTTTTTCTATTCTGAAAAACTGTAAGTGTCATTATTAATAGGTTAGTGGGATCTTGCTGTTTGTCATGTTCTTTGATAGAGAGAACACCCATAACTAAAGGACCTGAACCAGTCTTCTATGTTCTTTGTTTATCTGTGGACATTTGGTAGGCTGTAATAAGTGAATGAATAGTAGTCACCAAGGTTTATATTGATTTTACGGCAGCTAACTTATTTGGCGATGTCTTAAGGACGAAATAATTGATCTTTTTTCCAGGAGAATATAAAACAAAAAGTGCACTGGATGGGCGGTTTATACAATACTGTTCTGACGGATGAAACCACACATCTGGTATCTGACACAGTACTTTCTGACAAATATATTGTAAGTAAATATGTAGTGTAGTTTATTATGTAATCTATACAAATAAATAAAATTGAAGTGTCTGTTTGTAATGTCAAAATTACAGCTTTTTACTAAATGCGTATGAAAGTATATACGGTACTGTTGTGCGCCACTATTAATGTCTTGTACATGGCAACACTAGTTACACTAGCGCCCTCTAGTGTCGAGTAGCAGAACTAGGAGAGTCGAGATCCTTCCAGAAATTTCGGGACCGATATGTACTCAAACATTCTAGATGTCGCTACAGTAGAAGGTTCTGGAAACTATCTGAGGCCCTATATAAGGCCGGTATAGACCACGACCGGGGCAGTATTGAATTGGCGATACAAGAAAATACTTCGAAGCGAAATAACGGCGAACTGTGTTTTATTATTAGTGTGATTTTAGATTGTAATTAGTGTTGTGTAGTTAAAGTGTCAATTTTGGTAATTCAACCGGCAGTTTTTAATTGTCTCGAACCTCAAGCTCGTAACAATTGGTGTCAGAAGTGGGATCAAATCATGCCGATTTTACCAAAGGACGACATGGAGGGTATCCGTACCCGAAGTCAACGCCAGCTGGAGACGAACCAGAGACGATTTGGTGGTGCAACGTCACAGACGTCGGAGGGCCAGCTGCCGACCACGGAGGCCGGCCCGTCAGCAGCTCCTGCATCTGCAGCACCTGACTTAGGTGCTCTGATGATGATGCTGCAGGAGCAAGCCCGCCGACAGGATGAACAGGCCCGTCGGTTGGAAGAGCAGCTGCAGCGCGGTATGGAAGAGCAGATGCTCCTCAGGAAGGACCTTCACGCTACTTTCGGGAAAGAGATAAGGGAGGTGAAGGATAGGGTTGCTCAACATGACAACCGCCTGTCGGAAGCTGAAACCCGAATCGACCAAGTGTACAATCGGGTTGACAACGTGATGGCTGACGTGAAGAAAACGCTGGGTGACCTCAAACTTGGGGATGGAGTTACAGCTCCCGTGGTAGCTACAACACCTTCGTTACGTGGATTCAAAGTGCCGCCGTTCGACGGGAGTTCTTCCTGGTCGGCCTACAAAATCCAGTTCGAGGCTGTCATGAAAGCGAACGGCTGGAATAAAAGTCAGGCCATGACTGCTCTCACCCTAGGCCTACGCGACCAGGCCTTAACTGTTTTGGAAGCGCTCGGTAAGGAAGTGACTTACGAGCAGCTCCTTGAGACATTGGAGGCGAGATATGGCGATGCTCACCTGGAACACGTCTTGAGGCTCGGGCACCACGAGACGCTTAAGGACGCCTTGACCCATGCACTGGAGGTGGAAGCCGTGCGGTAGGATCATCGTTCCCACCGCGTCAGGGAGGTTGCAGCAGCTACAGTTCAGGACCGCAATAAGGGCTACAACCCTAAGTGCTACGGCTGTGGGGAAAGGGCCATCTTCGATCCAGCTGCCCTAAAGGAACTGTAGAAAGGGAAGGTGATCGATCTCGAGAGGGTAGTGCGGATAATAGCACCGCCCAGCAGCAGCAGGGAAACGAGTAAAAGCCAGGACTGCGGGGCGGGTGCTGGCTGATGTTAAAAGAGCCCCAAGGATTTCGATCTCACAAACCCATGATGGGAACAGCCTAATCATCAAGGGTGAAGTCAACGGAACGCCGTGTAAACTGACCATAGACACTGGAGCCTCTCGCACGGTTGTCAGTTCCCAACTTATAAGTCGGTTCCTTGGGGACTCCGCATACAACCGAGAACGCATTAATTTGGTGACAGCCACCGGTCAGCGCATACCCGTCCGTGGAGAGAAGGAGATGGAGTTGAAGCTAGGCAACATGATCTACCTGCATAATGTCATCGTGGCTGATATAATGGACGACTGCATCCTGGGCCTAGACTTTATGAGGAAGAATTGTTGTGAGATCGACGTTAAGCAAGGTGTTTTGAAATGTGGACAAGAGGAACTTTTCGTGGAAGGGGCGTTACCAGGGAATGTGTACAGCCTTAAGAAGATTGTTCTTCCGCCGAGATCGGAAACGATTGTGCCGGTTAGACTTCCACGGAATCCTGGGCAAACTCTTCGTTGTGTACTTATGGAAAGGGTAGATAATAACCTTCCATGGAAAGTGGCTCGAACCTTGGTCAGAACCGCCGACATCTCAGGAGTACGTGTGCTGAACCTTTGTGATCAGGAACAGATTATAGAAAAAGGCACATTGGTTGGTACTAGTGAGGAAGTGGATTGGTTGCGTCAGTGCCAATATCTATCGACTGGGACCCCCAGCAAGGATGGACAAACTAGAGTGACCACACTTTTAGAAGACTGTCGCAGCGTTCTCTCCCCGAATGAAATGGTCAAAGCGAAGAAGTTGTTACTCAAGTACGCCAATGTTTTCTCGTCAAAAGAAGCTGACATAGGAAAGACTGGCTTAGTTCAACACAAAATAAACACAGGACAAGAATTGCCTATTCGTCAGCGGCCAAGAAGATTGCCTGTAGCACGTGAAAAGGAAGTGGAAACCATGATTGAGGGAATGATGAAGGATGGTGTTATTGAACCTTCATCTAGTCCATGGTGTTCACCTGTGGTGCTGGTAAAGAAGAAGGACGGCAGCATGCGGTTTTGTGTTGACTACCGCCGCCTGAACGACGTTACGAAGAAGGACAGCTATCCCTTGCCAAGAATTGATGACACGCTGGACATGCTTACAGGCGTAAAGTGGTTTAGTACGCTGGATCTGAAAAGTGGCTACTGGCAGGTTGAAATTGACCCTAAGGACAAGGAGAAAACTGCATTCTCCACAGGAAAGGGTCTGTGGCAATTTAAAGTCATGCCGTTTGGATTGTGCAATGCTCCAGCAACGTTTGAAAGGCTGATGGAGCTTGTACTTACCGGGCTAATTGGAGATGCCTGTCTGGTCTATTTGGATGACATCATCATCGTAGGCCGTACGTTTGAGGAACACCTTCAAAACCTGGAACGCGTGCTCATGAAGATCCAGAGTGCCAACCTCAAGTTGAGTCCAAAGAAGTGCTCACTATTCAAACGGCAAGTTAGTTTTTTGGGGTATGTAGTGTCGGAAGAAGGTATCCGCACGGATCCAGAGAAAATTGCCGCTGTCAAGGAGTGGCCGGTTCCAAAAGACAAGACACAGGTTAGAGCGTTTTTGGGTTTGTGCTCTTATTATCGGCGATTTGTGAAGAACTTTGCAGATATAGCCAAACCTCTGCACAAGCTAACCGAGGAGAAGCGACATTTCTGCTGGGATGAAAGTTGCGATATTGCATTCCAGGAGCTCAAGAACCGTCTGTGCAAAACACCTATTTTGGGGTACCCTGATGCGAGCAAAGAATTCATAGTTGACACAGACGCAAGTGATATAGGACTTGGCGGTGTGTTGTCTCAACGGAATGGTGATCAAGAGATTGTGATAGCGTACTTCAGCAAGTCGTTGTCAAAGCCGGAAAGGAACTATTGTGTCACAAGACGGGAATTGCTTGCTGTGGTAAAGTCCTTGCAGCATTTTAGCAAATACCTCCTGGGGCGGAAATTCTACTTACGAACTGACCATGCTGCACTGAAATGGCTATTGCAGTTCAAAAATCCGGAAGGACAAGTTGTGAGATGGATTGAACTACTACAGGAATACGACTTTGTGATCGGACATCGCAGTGGGAAATCTCATGGCAATGCAGATGCATTATCAAGAAGACCTTGCCCTGAAGATTGCAAGCATTGTACTAGGCAAGAGGGTAAAGAAGTGGTATCTGCGAGGATATTCAGGACAGACCAGCTCAGCAATGAATGGAACGACAGCCTACAACATGCACAGCAGGAAGATTCGGACATTAAGCCGATTCTGGAATGGATGAAGGCCAGTGCTCCTAAGCCCAAGTGGAGCGACGTCTCAGCTATGAGTTCGACCACGAAAAGCTATTGGGCCCAATGGGACAGCTTGCTGATTCAGGATGGAGTCCTGTGCCGTAAATAGGAAAATGGTCGGGGAGACAGGTGTCATTTGCAAATGGTTGTCCCTAAGGCTAAAGTGCCGGATGTTCTACAGCTGTACCATAGTGGTTGTTCAGGAGGCCACCTGGGAGTTAAACGAACTCTCCTGAAGATCCGAGAACGGTTTTACTGGGTCCATTGTCGTGACGATGTCGAGGACTGGTGCCGCAAATGTACAAGTTGTGCGGCTGTAAAGGGACCTCAAATTCGTAGTAGAGGCGCATTGAAATTGTACAATGTTGGTGCACCATGGGAGAGGATAGCCATTGACGTTGCGGGGCCGTTTCCAGAAACTGAAAGTGGTAACAAGTATTTCATGGTTGTGATGGATTACTTCACTAAGTGGCCAGAAGTCTTCGCTATTCCAAATCAAGAAGCTTCAACGGTTGCAGATAAACTAGTTCATGAAGTCTTCTGTTGTTTTGGAGTACCTTTAGAGATTCACAGCGATCAAGGAAGGAATTTTGAGTCTCAAATATTCCAGGAAACTTGCCGAGTTATGGGTACTCAGAAAACACGAACAACTTCTTACCACCCACAATCTGATGGAATGGTAGAAAGATTTAATCAGACATTGGAGAGGTACCTAGCAAAAGTTGTGGATAAACGGCAACGAGACTGGGACAGGCACATACAACCGTTTTTGTTGTCATATCGAAGCGCTGTTCACGAAAGTACATCAGTGACACCAGCTTTCGCAAACTTTGGGAGAGAATTGCGGCTGCCTGCAGACCTAATCACCGGAATACCACCTGATGCCCCACGCAGTATAACTGATTATGCAAATGACTTGCGGAACAAAATGAATGACATTTATGAGCACGTCAGACAGACGGGCCAGCAAACGTCTGAAAAGATGAAAACACGGTATGACCGCAAAATGAACAACAAGGGGTTTGATGAAGGTTCACTAGTGTGGTTACACAATCCAGTTCGCAGCAAGGGGAAATCTCCTAAGCTTCAAGCTAAATGGGACGGACCGTACCGGATTGTGACAAGGATCAATGACGTTACCTACCGGATACAGAAAGGTGCCAGAGGTACTCCTAAGATTGTCCATGTGGATCGACTGGCGCGTTATTATGGGGCCAATAATGCTCGGGACGAGCATGTCTTAGGAGGGGGCAGTGTTGCGTGCCACTATTAATGTCTTGTACATGGCAACACTAGTTACACTAGCGCCCTCTAATGTCGAGTAGCAGAACTAGGAGAGTTGAGATCCTTCCAGAAATTTCGGGACCGATATGTACTCGAACATTCTAGATGTCGCTACAGTAGAAGGTTCTGGAAACTATCTGAGGCCCTATATAAGGCGGGTATAGACCACGACCGGGGCAGTATTGAATTGGCGATACAAGAGAATACTTCGAAGCGAAATAACGGCGAACTGTGTTTTATTATTAGTGTGATTTTAAATTGTAATTAGTGTTGTGTAATTAAAGTGTCAATTTTGGTAATTCAACTGGCAGTTATTAATTGTCTCGAACCTCAAGCTCGTAACAGTACTAATAACAAAAATACAATTTTTAAAGTTTTTGTCTGTCTGTCTGTTTGTTCCGGCTAATCTCCGAAACGGCTGGACCGATTTTGATGGGATTTTCAATGGCAGATAGCTGATGTCACAAGGAGTAACTTAGGCTACTTTTATTTTAGAAAAAGAATTAGGGTTCCGTGCAAAAAAATTAAAACCGCAAATAACACGCGGACGAAGTCGCGGGAAACAGCTAGTTATAAATATAATTAAATTTTAGCCACATGACAGTGGTAAAAGATTGTTTTAATAATATTATACAAGCACACTTTAACACCAGAAAATTACTTCAAGACCAATTGGCTTAATATGGATAAAATGTTCACATCTTAAATATTTTCTTTTTTGTCTATGAAATATATATTACAAAAATAATTAAATAATCTATACATATGAATAAAATTGAAGTTTCTGTTTGTAATGTCAAAATTATAGCGTTTTACTAAATGCATATGAATGTATAAACTGTACTTATAACAAAAATACACTTTTAAATTTTTGTCTGTCTGTTTGTTCGGGCTAATCTCCGAAACGGCTGGACCAATTTTGACGGAACTTTCATTGGCATATAGCTGATATCATAGGGAGTAACTTAGGCTACTTTTATTTTAGAAAAATAATTAGAGTTCCTCGCAAAAAATCAAAACCCTAAATTACAAGCAGGCGAAGTCGCGGGGAATAGCTAGTATTATACTATAACTTTTGAATAGTGAACATTCACTTCTTCTTTAATGTATGTACTTAAATATATGTTTTAAGTAACCATGTAATATTTTCACTGTTTATTACTCAATATTAAAAAAAAAAACTCGCGTAATTAAGACATCCAGTCACCAGCAAGCGGCGGGCAGTTGAAGACTTCCGTTCTGTTGGTTTCACTTTGAACCACCAGTCGTTCGTGCGCTAGTTGCGGTTTCTAGAGTATGAAATTACGATGATTACGAATAAAATTTGAGCTATTTATAACACGACTCTGTCAGGACTATTAAAAATATTTTAATTGGTCCCCATCTTAAACTCTAATATTTTTCATCTAACACTATTTCAGAAATCAGTTGAGAAAGGTATTCCAATAATGCATGAGAATTGGATTGAAGCAGTATGGGAGGCATCACTGAAGCTCAATATCAGTGGTTCTTCGTCAGATTTCGACTGTCACCATCTACCCGCCTTTGCTAATCTCCAAGTCACAACTTCCGGGATCTCTAAGAAGGAGAAACAGATGATCATGAAGCTAGTTAACGAGAACGGGGGAATGTTCTCTGGCGCGTTTCAGAGTGAGACCACTGATGTCGTGGTGTTGACCAAGTAAGTTGAGAATTATTCAGACTAACAGAGATAGACAAAACACTATGTTTATTTCAAGTGACGCCGAAACCAAACCAAAACGGTTTTTTTTTATTAATTTGAAGTAATAAACATATTTAGAGCCCACCTGATGGTTAAATGACTACAGCAGCTCATCGACACCCGCAACCAAATTCAAATAAAGAATGTTACCAAGGTGTTGTTGCATCTGAGGACTTAGATGGAATGCAGGCGTTGCTATTTGGCGATAGAAATAGGTCAGAAGGGGTCGTCTAGTCAGGAAGGAATCCTACCACGTAGCAATATACTGTGCTCAACTTATTGTAACTACACACATCCATCTAAAATAATTTGCACTTACATGTCATACAACCTACGATAACATGGGCCGCCCCATTGAAATTACTTTTTTAATGAACATAGCCCTATCCTTACAAGCACTTTTGCATGTAGCTGTAAGTATTGCTCTTTAGTATAATATAATATCTCTCATATATTCTCAGATTTGTTGGTCAACTAGTCATAATTTGCTGATTGTGCAATAGAATACACGTGCCACTTTCATAGACATTGTTAGTGCAGCATTTTAATAAACCAAATGATCATTATCAGTGACACAACTAGTCGAGCGAAATTGTGAATCTGAACACCCGGCAATGTATCAGCCAAGATCGGAAAAGAAAGGGGTGACGCACCGACAGTGTTTATTATAAAATGATTATTTTGAGCCATGAGGTACAGAAGAAGCGTGGTATCTCAGAGACTAAGTATTCTCTGTAAATTTCGCGCGAACAACCCGAGGTCGTATACTCGCCGGCACCTATACGCACGAGGGAGGTCGAACGTTCGCGGAATAAAACGGAAAGGGGGTGAAATTAAACATGAATTTATTTTACCTTTTCGATATATTCTCCATTAACAATTCTCCGACCGTTCAAATAACTTACTTATTTATGCCTTTGAAAAAAAAATGTTTTGTCAAGGCCCACACATAGGCACAAATTGTCGACTTCACTTCTACATCTTTAAAGAACAATGGCAGACTTTCATACATAAAATTAGTTGAGAAGAAATGGTAGCGTCTATACATCACAAATATCTTAAAATGTTAAGCGTCAGTTTCTTAATAACTCTGTCAAAGAATTTTGTCCTGAGAAGGCGTCAAAAAAAGATATTTAGATTTGAACCTTTTTAGGTTATGTCTTATGTCACTTGGAAAAAGTCATGCTTCCTGTGGTTGTTTGATGTTAGTTTAATACATAATACATAATTGGGAGTTTTTAGATTATTGTATCACTATTATATATTTGCATACTATAAATGTATATTTCTGGCATGGCTCCAGGGCCTTTTTGTCATAGTGACATCCTCAGAAGGGCTAGAACCCAGAGCCATAAAGCCAGTAAAAAAAACAGTGACATTTTGTTTTAGCTAGTGTTGCCATAACATTAAATGGAATTGTTACATAATACTATGATTGAGATAATGTATTATTGTTGGAAGTTCTTTGTAAGAGACCTATTCTTAACCACATCACTTTTATATTTATTATTACTGATAGTATAGTTATTACTAATAATAACTTAATATTACATTTGCAACATTTAAAAAAAGTGTTAAAAAGGAGTTATTTCATAAACAGAACTCTTTTTAGGCAGAATGGCTTTATGTTAATTCTGTAATAAAGTATTTTTATCTAACACATATTGACTGTAAAGAGGTTTACCAATAATACATAATTAAGTACGATGTGCGTGCGACCAAAGCATACCCAAAACAGCAGGGACTGGCTGAAAAACAGTGCTGAGCATAATGCCCAGCGAATACTGAGCTCGTGCCCTTTGCCTCACATTATAATCGTATACTGAGTAGTTAATCTGTTAATTGTGAATGTTCATTTTTTATAGAATTTTTAAGTCTAATAATTTTTTATTTGTATACTTACTTTGTTTCCATTTGTAAACTTATTATGGTGTGGCAATAAATATATATTATTATTATTATTATTAATATAAAAATATTTTGTGTTGTGTTGGTAGTCTTACAAAGTGTATACGAAAATAGTATGAATATACTAAATGGCAACACTTGAATAGAGTAAAATGATTTAAGTGGTTTTTGGCGGGAAATTGACCGGCGGCGGTTTGCTGCTCCTGTATTATTGTTTAAATAATGGTTTGAAGTGGACTTTGATATGTAAAAGTGTTGCGATTTTGTGTATTAAGTGTCTACGCATGTGAACTATTAGTGGAAACAGTGAAACAAGTGCTCTGATGGTGATGGATTCTCAAGATAAGCTGTTTGTTTGCATAGGCACCTTTAGATACCATCGCCAACTATCAGCTGTCTGCTGGATCAAGTTGCCGCCAAAATCTCCCAAGAACTGCACAATGTGACGCATCAACATATTGTGAAGCAGTATACTATAAAGGAGTGGGGAAATTACAATAAACCGAATAAAAATACTTAAGACTTGGCCTAAAGGTCTAGATACCAGGCCATAAACTCCAAAAAAAAAATGATTTAAGTCATTTGATATTCCCAAAAATGTTTGTTTTTTTCTGTGGCTTTATTTAAAATACATTTTTATTTGAAAAATCATAGAAAAATAATAAAACTCATTTTATATATAACTTATTTCTAGACGCGATAATTTTTGTCAACTATTTTTCTGCCATTGTTCTTTCTTTCCCCGAAGCTCTTTTTTTCATATTTGGGAAAAAAGAGCTTCGGGGTCTCGAGGTCTCATTTTCCCCTTCTTTCCTAAAAATTTTTCTAGTAGCCTAATACTGTCCCGTGATATTGAGACATTTATCTTTATAATTGTTAAAAAAATCCCCTCCGAATCCTAAAATTCGCAGCTATAATCTTTACAGCCGATTGTGACACCTTTAATTATTTAGGCGGTGCTGCGCATTTTTTGTGCCATTGCATGGACTCCTGCTTTGACTCAGGTTCACAGTGATGAACCCAAAACACTGTCGTGTGTCTAGATTCCAGAGGAATCAGATAAATTGTATTCTTCTTGCGTACGTCGTTTGTGGCGCGAACTTGGCCCTTTTTTACATTTATTTCTTTGGTGGGATTATTTGTACTTGTTTTTATTTGACCAATGTTTGCCCAATTGCAGAGAGGGGATAGGCGGCGAGAAGTATAAGGCGGCGATGGAGTATGGTAAGGCTTGTGTTCTACCCGCTTGGGTGAAGGACTCAGTGGGTAAAGGCGTGGCGTTGCCAATAGCCAAGTATAAAGTGACGGGCGCCTCCACTTCCTCGCCGTTTGCGGAGCATCGGTTGCCCGATATGAGTGAGTGGCTTTTGCAATAACAAATGAAATATTATTTCTTTAGATCTTAAAGACAAAGACATTTATTCTCACACTTACATCTACACACACACACACACACACACACCCGCTCACGCACTCGCACACACGCGCGCGCGCGCGCTAGCACATACACGCACTAAAATTAAAATGAGTCTATTATCAATTTTCCAATTTTTCATAGATATAATCAGTCCGAGTTGCAGTTGTCTCTCTATTTTCAAATATCTTGCCGCCCATATATTTTCTTAATTTCTTACATTGCATTATTGTAATGCTTTATTGTGTCTAACATAGAATATTCTATACAGGCTTGAACTTCTCACGGATAACAAATGTGAGGCCGCCAAGCAACTTCGTAGACGAAACAAGATCTGTGGATATGTCGACACTATCAGGCAGGGCAAAGGTATTTAAAAAAAATCTAGTATGCAAATTAATACAAAAATTGCTTACCATATTGAAACACTGGTCAGCTTCACAAGAATAAAATCACGATAAACTAGATAACGGATTGATTGACAATATCCTCCAATATGTTGACTGTCGAACTTTATACTGCTCAAATGTTTTGAGTTCTACCCTCACTACTAATTATCTTCTACTCAACCATTTGTGCAAATTTGAGAGTTTGAATTTGAGATTTGCAATGATTCTTAATATCTCTCATGGTTAAACTGGCAAAAACACAAAGCGGTAAATATAAGTGTATAAAAAAAAACAAATCACTGAATGCTTTTCTATCTTTTATTCCAAACCGATTGAAACGAGTTTTTTTTTTTTAAATTAAATATTAAATAGATTATACTTTGGGTGTTCCATATAAATTTAAAGTAAAAAATCCATTCCTTAGGATGAAAAATAGGTTAAAAAAATTTAATTTCCACATAATTTTGCATCTGAAGTCGGTGCTAAATCATAAGATTTAAGTTCCGATTTCAAAAGCAATTATGGGGATTTTTTTTAGTTTTCCGTCAGTTTGTATTGTTTTTATCAAAAGTTTGATTATTTTTAAGTATAATATGTGATATAGTATTTTATAAAACTGCTATAGTATTATGCTTTTGGAAGTGAAAACTAGAATTGTTGTGATTTGAAACTAGGTGAAATGATGAAGCGACACTGAAAAGAGACAAACATATACTTCTATAGGATTTAGCCTGCGAGAGAATGAGATAGAATACAGTAGGCAGTGTTTCTGTTATTCTGCATGTGATCTATGAGCAGTAATGATTAAGAACGAAATTTGTTGATTAGAAAATATTTAAGTACTTACAAAGATGAAATTGAAAACCTAGTCTATTTAGTGAGTTATCTAATATATAAAAATAAATTTTTGTTTATTCGTATTTTATGCGCTGCCATAACGCTCATCAGATTGTGGTAAAACTGTCAACTTATTGCTTGCACTTGCGTGAAGGTTATAGGCATAGTACAATTAACTTACAGTAGGTGGCGCGCGAATCGCAACAACAAATTTATTAGAAAGTTATATATCATTCAACTTCAGTGAATGTATTATAATTCCTAATTAAACAATACAAATTTTCCAAATTTAAAACGATGTTTTCACAATTATTTCTTCTGCGGCAGCAATGCGGCGGGTAGTGTTCAATAAAATGTAAAATAATTTTTAAACTTGGTTACAACATTATAATAAATAAATCCCACAATTGTCCTACTCCCGATACTTTGCATTCGTCGCATTCTCTCGAAATTTAGTTTTCTGAAGGTTTCACGTCTACCACGTGTTAACTGCACACATGTTTTTTTTTTCAGTTGTCTCAAGAGAGTAAGAAGTCAAATGAATTCTCTACAATGGACAAAGATATTTTGGCGGAGTTTGAAAAGTTTGATATGAGTTGTATAAAGAAGGCTGGCCCTATCTTTGATGGATTTTGTGTGAGTTGGCACTAATAATTTTGTTATTATTTTTTAAGATAAATTATGTGTAAGTTCAGGCTCTTTTCTTTTGACTTCAAGGAGGTACTGAATTCGACTGTATGCTATTTTTATTTTTATGTATAAGGTCAACCGGGGCTAATGCGTCACGATACTTTAAGCGGCATTTTTAACTGATCATATTAATTTAGTTGTATAATTTAAAACAATGTGAATTAAAACATATAACACATTATTTAATAAAATTTTATATTTAAATATTATTTCGTGATATTTTTAAAACCCTTGCTTGAAAACACCCATTCTTTACAAGTTGAGATTTTTAGACGCAAAAGCCCCAGGTGGGGCAAAGGCGTCTTTAGCAAGTACCACATAATAGGAAGCCTTCGTAACACAATTAATCGAAAAAATATATTAGATCGCTCATGATATAGCTAGTTATCATTTTATAAGCGATATTCTTGGCTTGGTCTCTCCTATTAAGTCGAACAAAAAAATTTGGGGCTATGGCGTCTAATTTATACTTTAAGTGGTAGACGCATTCGCCCCATCCTAAATTCCAGAGGTATCAAACGATTTTCTTCTCATTACTTGTGAGAAAAAAAGTTGCCATTGACATAATTTGCAAACAAGTTCCACTTTTATACACCTAGCATTTATAAATAGAAAAAAAAATCAAACACATTGAAATTAGGTAAATAGTGTATAATAAAAATACGAGTTCTAATAGAAAATAAAAAAGCGAATACAAAAAAAGTATGAGATGTTTTATTTAGTTAATACTGTCATCATTACTAAATTCTTAATAATCAGTTTTTTAAATAGTGTAATCTTACATACCTATTGTATGTTGAATGTTGTATGTAAAAATTTGACTTTAATTGTGTAACATTCGCTAGGTGTGAAGTACCTTAACAAACATTATTATTAATTAATATTAGTTTCATTATCATTGTTATCACAATAATCAGGTAATGAGATCACATGCAATTTTATAGATATTGTCACTCTCACTCAGGTCTTCTTAATTAATAAATTAATTTGACAATCACTGAATGTTATACATTTTAAAATTTTCTTTGAAAGTAATATGCCCTCTTCGAGATATATCAGGCTTTTCAAGGAACATTATGATATCATCATCATTCTTTACTTCTGATATATCCTCCACGTCTGGATAATGAAAGGAAACAAATTTACTATTTTTTATTTTTCTTAAAAATTTGACGTTAGGAATGTTATTGTCATTAATAGAAATGATGGTCCCCACAAAATACTTCACAGACTTTTTTGTTGTGAATCTTACTAGTATCCAATCACTAACTTCTAGGTTCTTTTTGTTTAAATTCGGTTCAAATTGTTCAATATTTGTAGTGTCTACATCATTATTTACGTAAGATTTGTCATTTTCTTTTTCTTCTGTTGTGGCTTGCAACAAATCTTCGAGAAAGTTATCATCACTTTTTATTTCCGCTAAAAAGTTTTCACGATAGGTATCAAAATCTTCATCAGAAAGTTCAGCAGAACCGGAAACTTCAGCAAAACTAATATCTAATTCACTTTCAGATTCTTCGTCATAATCAAAACACTTCTTTTGTTTCTTAGCTTTCTTTTTAACATTTTTATTAGGTTTTTGCTTAGATAAGCTCTTACTACAAGGTTTTTTTTAATATCTTTGCTTTCATCAGTCTCATCTTGTTGTTGTAATTTTATACAATTTCTTTTTCGATTTTGGTCCAATTTTTTTTTATATTTTTTGTTTTGGGGATTTTTATGGCAGTTCTTTCCTTTTCTTGCTTTATTTTTCCTTCGTATCGTTTTTTTTCTATAAACTGTTCTCGCGTTATTATTTCACACCCCCTAGCAATTTTAGTTTTTTTCAATTTTATTGTCGAGTCACTTTTCTTTATTGTCTGCAATAATAAAGTTTCAAAAGAAACTCTTTCCGAGGGAGCCAAAATTCTATCTTCAATAATTCTAATTACCTTTGAATCATTAGACTTATCAAATTTCATCTCCTGGTTTGGCAAAACTAATTTTGATGACGCTGCTATGGAATTTTTGCTAATGCTCAACTCTTGGGTAACGGCCGCCAAACTTAACTTTTTTAATGTCTGAATCTGTTTTGGTATCGTTTTATGTTCCCTGAACCTTTTCAATGATTCTGGATCAAATTTTTCGTCTGCAACTACGTTTCTGTCAAATGGATATATGCCCCCTTTTTTAAAGCCATTTCTAATTATTTTTGTGTCTAATTCACGCCACACTTCTCCAAGAAGGCGACTAAACTCATCTTTTGGCAATTTAGTGCCCACATTTAACCGTTGCCAATGCACAAGTTTTGCATCCCAAGTGTTTTTCATTGATTTAAAAACTGATAAATCTAATGGCTGCAGAAGATAGCTTGCATGTGATGGTAATTTTATAATAGTTACGCCTCGTTTTTGTGCTTCTTCTAAAATTTTAAGTTGGATATGGGTAGAATGGCCATCAAATATTAATAAAGCGGGTGGATCTTCACTTAAACGCGGTAGCACTGTGTTCAACATGTACTTTTCAAATACTTTTGCATCGATCCATCCATTTTTAGTGGCAGCATAGGATGTGTTTTCAAATCCTTTATCTGAGAGCCATTGGTCCCACGTAGTTTTTCCTCTGTGTATAATCAACGGTGGTAATTTGTCACCGATTGCGTTGACTGTGAACAAAATTGTGACATTATCTTTTCCAGATGACGCGATTATGCGTGTACTGGCACATCCACGGGCTCCAACCACTTTTGTTCGTTCGGGATCTTTTCCAAAACTTGACTCGTCAAGGTTCCAAATTTTATCAAGTCTTCCTTTTAAATTAAGTTCACTCAAAACTCCATCAAGAGTATCAAAATACTCATTAACAATAAAAGGGTCACATGCCACTTTTCTTGACATTTCCACCGCCTGAGGTCTTTTTAAGGACAAATTGTGCCTCTTCTTGAAGGCAGCAAACCAATCATAACCGGGTCTGTTGTTTTTGAATGGTGTTTTGTAGTTATTTTCACTCACGTGTACGGCAACTAAATCTAGCGTTTCTTTGGAAGTGAGTCCGAACCCATATTTTTCCATAACCCGTACACCATTTGCAAGTTTGAGCTCATTTTCTCTGTCAATCACTGTAGGTGGTCCTCGGCTCTCCTTTACGATACCTTTTTTGTTATTTACTCTATCACATATAGTCATACGAGGAATGTTATACTTTTTTGCAGCTTGGTACGAATTTATTTTGCCAGTTTTGACTTCATCTACTGCTTTCTTTAAGGTTTCAAGATCGTAAGTTGGTGTTGTTTTTCTTTTATATGAACGAACCATTTTAAAAAATCTAAAAGAAAAATTTAGGTTTAATTACAAAGACCATCTAGAAAAATGTGTCAAATAAACAGTGAAATTACCCAAAAAAAAAACTTCAAATATTACAAACAATATATTTTGTTTGTAATATTTAAAGTAATTCCGTTTCACTCGCGAGAAACCACCTACTTGTTCCAAAGTCTGTTAAAAGCCTATTATGTATTTATTAATCCAGGGTCTAATCTATCTCCATACCAAATTTCATCAAAATCTGTTCTTTCGTTTAGGCGTGAAAGAGTAACAAACATGCATATATTCATCCATCCATATATAAGTAGGGTATAACTATATTTAAAAAAATGATTTTAGTGTATATGTATTTAGATCAATTATTGCATTATTGTTATCTTAAAATAAAAAGGTTTAGGACCTCATACAATGGGGCTATTGCGTTACAATAGACGCAATCACCCCAATAAGGCAGACGCGATAGCCCCGATAAAGAAACATAACCTAAAATATTTTAACTGCACGTGGACAATTAATCTTTAGGCCTTTACTAAAAATAATTAAAACAAACCGTAAAACATTTCAGAATGAAAGGTACTTACAGGTAAAAAACACCGATAGTCTAGAAAACACTGAGATTTAAGGGGATTCAATAACCACATATCACTAACGCGAGCTTCGAAGTGAAGTGATATATTCAAGATGGCGAAAATTTAAACAAAAATGAGGCCAGTATCGACATCTACTAATTAAATATTTTAGTCTGGTGCTAAATATGTTTAAAAGATGGCGTGAGTAGTTCTTAAATTCGTATTTCATATGATATTTGAATGTGACGCCTTAACCCCTAAGACGCCTTAGCCCCGGTTGACCTTACATAACTTTTTTCTGAGTGAACCGATTTCGTTGATTGTTTTTTTATTTGAAAGCTGGTGATTCTCATGTGGTGCCATATAATTTTCGGAACGAAGTTCCTTATCGGACTGTACGGGTTTGGTGAATGGGACCTAGGCGACAAAAAGTAAGATTTTTTCGTCACTACCCCTTGTGTCATAGTGTATTTTATTTTAAATGACGCTTTATTTTAATATATGCTAGTAATACATTTGATAATCAATATTATAATACGTTTATCAATAATAAGGAACTTCGTTCCAACCGAGTGTTCCACGACACTCACGCATGTTTTTTTTTAAAGGATAGGGTGACAAACGAGCACACAGTCCACCTGATGGTAAGTGGTTGCTGTGGCCCATAGACATCTACATTTATCCTCGTTTGCGAATCAAAATGCAGATGCGTTGCCACCAGTGAGGACTAAGATGGAATGCCTCGTTTTCAGTAAAAAGGGTCTCCGGTTCTCTACACTCACCATAAGAAACACAACAGTGTTAACCTGCTATTTTACGCTTGTATTCTGTGAAAGCGTTGTCCTTCCTCGGTTGAGCCGACCGATTCGTGCTACAACTATACTACTAATATAGCTGCAGCATGGCTCTACCACGTACAAATAAATTTGATCAAGGTCTGACCAATAGTTTTTGAGTTAATCTTAATTATTTATATTGAAGTCGATTCTACAAATTTATTAATTTTAAATTATTATTGTAGAAGTCGTGTAGTGGCGGTTAAGAATATCGACTACCCCATATCTTCCCGTGGGTG